TTAACAAATACATTTAGGATGTGGAAAAGTGAATTTATACAATGCAAAATATATTTTATATTCAAACAAAGTATTTCTACTCGATACCCGACCGCATCTAACGATATCTGAATAACTATCGATTAACGGTCACTAAACTCTACACAGTTTTCATATACGTTCGTTTTTACACTTTTATGTACGTAGTGGACTTTCCTAGTGATTTTGATTAAGGGATGAATAGAGTAGTTTGATATGTCGTCGTTTTCCCTAATCTTACTTTATTTCGTATTTCTCTTTTATTTATTGACCTGTCTATCCAACAGATTTGTCTCCGCTTTTGCATTCTGTCAGAGTTTTGGCTTTTGCCTTAGTAGTTTTCTTATTCTGTTTGTAATCTTGATTGCTGTTTTAATGCCCAATTTAAGTTGAACAATCGCCGGACATTCATTGTCGCCACTTTTTAACTCTTTCTCTAGAAATTAATTACTGTTATCAATCTCAGGGCAAAGATCAACTTTTGCATTGCCGCTTCTAAAATTCTCACTATAAACGCTGTAGTTAAATACTGTCGCTATTCAAGCAAAGATTATAGTATATTAGAGAAAGGATGATTAGTATGATCATTTTAAGGAATCGGATGCCGCAACATTTAAGGCGTTGACACAGCGCTCCTCACTTTAAGATGGCATTCAATCCCGACATACTTAAAATGGGCTTTTTTCAAAACCACTTACACCCCGATGTTTCATATAACTTAGTAGTTGTTGTTTCATGTAAATCCCCTCATAAAAACTGTTAAGCAATTAAAGAGAAATTTCTCAGCCAGTTACTTTGAGAATCATGGGTTTCTAGTCATTAGTAAGACACTATCACAAATCTAACAGTAGAATCTGCAAGTACGAATATACTGTGTTCATCTTTTGCAAAATAAGAGTTAAACCAGTTTTATTATATTAGATTAATAACAAAGTAGTATAAATAATAAACATAAATTGCGTGTTATACTCGTGTGCTATCTTCAACAACAATTATACACTAAACTAGACATAATAGTTGATTTTATGCCAAAAGTTGACTGCCAAGACTTGTACAGTTTGAATTTTTGATTACATTTGTAAAACAATTGACAGAATTAATTTAATTTAGTGCTTTGGCTCTGTATACTTTTACTCGATCATTGATCGTAGTTACAGAAATCTCCCCATAATTTTTTAAGAGTTGGTTTGATTAACCCAGGGAATTAAGCTTCATAAAAAGTATGTCTCAAATTCTACGGCGACGATATTTGAAAATCGTGGAAAGTGCGAGCCACTATAATAAAGAAATTTTTCTTCAACACGTTTTTCGTATCAAAAACAATACTTTAAAATTGTAAATTTTTTATTTATATTAAATTTCTTTACATAGGACTAGCAGTATTTTTTACTCACATTTGTGGGAAAAAATTAAAGAATTACTTCACTACAATAAAATAACGAGAGTTTATATTGATGATTACATTTTTTCTATAGTTACTTGTTACAATGCCTCGCTATTTAATTTAGTTTAATATATTAATATTCCTCATATTAATGGAAACACTTTAAAATCCGGTTTGCGGATGTGAGCGTAACCATTCTTATGGAATGATAAATCATATTATTCTTCGATTATTTACGTTAGTTTAAATTTTATCAACAGAATAAAAAAAAACAATGAAATAAGTTAATAAAAACTCTAAAAGTGCGCTATGTACCTTAAACCGATCTTCCGATAGTTGAACAATAATGAAATTGAAGTTTACACAATAACTAACCGAATTGAAAAAAAACCTTCTGCTTATTATTAACTAAGTATATTTCTTATACCAACTACAAACTTAATTTAAAGTTAACATATTTTTACACTTAAGGAGTTAATTAAATTTATCATCACTATTTCTTGATAGGAATATGAAACTGAATATTTATATTTATTAAGTTAGATGGAAAAATAAATAAAAAAAAATAAAAGGGTTTTTCAGTTTATTGACTTGTGCATTGAAATTTAAAAAAAATCTAGTAAAGAAATATGGCAAATTTTCGCGTTACATGTCAGTCTTGTTATAATCATTATTTTTACAATATACAATAAAACATTAATTGCAAAATCAACAGGATTTTTTTTATTACATATTTATTTTTTAAACAAATGATATATAATTATGAATAGAGCTTGGCGCGACATAACGGCACTTGGATTCAGTTGTGGAAAACGTGAAGGTTGTGCGGGACTGTTGTATCGTTGCGCCGTTTTTGCAATATTTACACATTGCTGTTTCCTGACCCTAATTTCACATCTCTCTCTCTCTTTTTCTTTCTTTCTCACACGCTTATTCGCTTATTTCTCCCATGCAATCTTTTTCTGCTACATTGTGTGAATGCATTATTAACTATACTAAATGTAATTGAAAGTCATAAAATTATTAAATTCGTAGGAAGAATATAATAGTGATTAATACGTAATTGAAGTTAATCAAAGATAATTTAAAAAAAATTATGATATTTATTGCAAAATTGCTAGGAAATTGTAGAAATGATAATAATAAACCCAACTAACATAGATTTCTGTTGTACATTTGTTACTCTATATGTATAAAATCACCACAACATACAAATATACCATTTTCTTTGACCTTGGCTTTAATAAATTAGGTTGAATAAAAGTCGGACAGACATTGTCATGATTTTTAATTTTTTTCTCTTAAAAATTATTAGACTTAATAGACTCGAGGCAAAGTGTAATGCGGGTATTTTGAATAGATGCTCCTAAATTTTCCCACTATCAACGCTGTGATTAATTAACGTCCCTTTTATCAGAGTAAGATTAAATCAAATAAGAGAAATAACAATGCTATTCTGTTTTCAAGCGAATAAAGAGAAATTTACTAGTAGTTTACAAAATTATTTTTTTTAAATTTGTATCAGCATTTGAATATACAGAAATTTTTGTGTAGTTTATATTTTCGATTATTTTAATGTATTGATTTTAATTATGGATCACTTATCCCATCAATTATGAACATATTTGAACCTCAAAGGTGTGTATTTAACGATGACATTTTCCTGCAGATTAGTTTATTCAATTACTGCGCTGAAGGTTTAGGAGGGTCGTTTAAACCTTTGGCTGTTTGCCAGAATGTAGGATAACTTGTCGGTTTGCAGGCCCTTTTGAACTGTTGAAAGCTCAGTATTGCACGTCCCCTCCTGATCCCGCTTATCCCGCTCTCTTATAACTGGGACAGGACTGGTCCGAATTTCCCCTCCAGCGCGTAAGCCCTTATCTGTCTAAATAATAACAAATTGTCCTCCCTTTTGTAATTTACATGACGCTCTTCTTAATTTCCTGGAAAAAACACTCAAGAAGAAAATAGCGCTGTCTTAAGCGCACTTTTTATGTCTTGGGATTTTCCTTACGTATTATTTTTTTGGCATAAGTATAACCCTTTTAGGCTTGAACTATGTCAAATAAATTGATATATATATCTATTTTAAAAAAAGTATGGAACTATTAGACAGACTCAACTTATTTTTCCTTCAAAAATTAACCAACTTTGTCATTGCGATTCTAGTATACATTATTACGACATTTACTACTTTATATGATTAATTTTACCGCTAACAGAATTCTTTCAATAACAGTGCCCATAAAAAAACTGTTTTTTGCACGAAAAATGTCCAAATTTTGATATGCATATTTTCTCAGCTTTTTAAGTCACAAACCTGCGCTAGGTCTATTTTTTAGACAATTTGACACTGAACAAGATGGCTGTTTTAAATGTTTTCCTAGGTTCAGTCATTCATCAGTAAATTTAAAAATTCGGGCACATGTTAATTTTTTTATTTTTGAGGAAAATTTTATTTTTAAATTGAACTGTGGAGCCAGGACATCGTACTGGAGCCGCACTCTGTAACAATCGACAGGAAATTTTAATAAACTTTTGATTGGTCACCTTCCACTTTGCACGATTTCTAAACCGTTTTCGGGTTATTCGCGATTTTAGGGCAGAAAACGTGGTTTTCTATGTGCGGAAAAAGCCGATAAAAAGTGCAAAACTAACACATTCCCGAATTTTTGAATTTACTGATGAATAACTGAAATTAGCAAAACATTTAAACAACAAATCTTGTTCAGCGTTGAATTTTCTGAAAAATAAGACCTAACGGAGGTGACCGACCACCTGGTTTTTGCACGCAAAAGTGGCCAATTTTGGAAATATTTTCTCATCCTGTTAACTATATATACGTGAGCTATGCCTAGATGCAAGCATTTTTCTAAAACTTCTCAAAGACGGCTTTCAAACATGAATATGCTTTTATCTGCACAAAGGCATATAATTTTTATGTATAATTTATTATATATATATATATATATATATGTGTGTGTATGTAAATTATGGTTTTGCGTGTAGTAAACTAGTTTTTAAAGAAAGAATACTATTTATTACACAGCAAGCAAATACAAAACTGGAATAACCACTTCCAATTAGGGAATCTTCGGTCTATACTCGTTGAAACCCTGAGACGAATTCAATTAAAAATATTAATATTAGGAAAGGCTTGGGGATGTAATGAAGGAGGGGTTTCTTGGACGTGAACCCGTGTGGATGTGATAAGGGAGGAATGTGAAGGGTTGCAACAGATAAGGGTCTAGCGAGTACGTAACATGTATATATATATATATATATATATTNATAAGGGTCAGGTGACTGCACAGAAAACACATTGACCAGTTTACCAGATCACATATCAAAATAAAAAAAATGTCGGTTTTGTATTCAATTATCTTTTAGCGATTAAATATTTGTTTTTTTATTTTTCAAAAATAGGAGGAATATTTCACTTTGGTCACTTTTAGATCTATAAAGATGAAGTGTAGATAGGGTTGAATTATATTGAAGCCTTTGGGAGTCTGACCGTGTTATCTATTTAAGGTTATCTACTGCATAGCGTCATTCTTTATTGCTATTTACTATTTTACAAATTTTGATTCTGTTTCAGGTTGGACCCGGAAGAGAAGCCGAATGTTGACCGCAGCAGCAGCCCCAGCATGTGCTCGTCGGACAGTTCGTCCAGCATTAGTTCGGGTGGCGCCGGAGAAGTGCCTCTTGTTTTTAGTAACGCCCTCCACCTCGCCGTTGAATACGGTTCAGTCGATGTATTGCGTCTTCTTCTCAAATACGGTCTCGAGCCGAACCAGGGAGGAAGGGTTCCCGGGGGGATCATCGAGCAGGACATCCTCCCTCAACAGCCATCAACGCCCACCACCACCTCACCGACTCGGACCAGCCTCACTGGTGAGAAAATATTATTTTTCAACAGTAGATTTAAAAAAATTCTGTAACTTACAGGTGTAAGTGGGCAAGTCCAAATGGGCTACACTTCTTGTATACGATCATTCCATCAAAATAAAATTGTTGTTCTTCTCCATGTATGGATCATAAGGTCACAATCTAACTATAGAATTTTTATTAGACATTATAGCCTAGTTACTAAGAAGGAAAAACCTTTTGTACTGTAAAAAATTACATCTCCCATGACCGTTTCCATAGTAGTAACCATAGGCCATAGTAACCACATTCCTCTACACCCGCCCTATACTCTTTCCATAAAAGCCCAATCCTATGACATCCCTTCTATCTTTATTCTTAAATTCGAAGCCATTACGACTAAAATACTATGCACGAATTAAAAGATCATCTTGAATTCCTTCTCAAAGCTCAGATGAACATTTCGGCTGACATAAACACCCACCTTCTGGATTTTCACCTGATTTATACGGTTGGCTCACTGATGATCGGCAATTCAGGGTGTGCCATTTTCGATCTAAAGAATAAATGTAGGGTACCTATTCCTTACCACAATGTTTTTCAGTTTTTTCAGCCGCGTCTTAAAAACCTTAGAGTAAAGAGAGGAATTGAACTCAACCAAAATATTCTTTTGTCTGACTGCCTGAACACGATCCTTTAGCTAAAACATTGCGAATAAATCATAATCGATGTAGTAAAAAAAATTTATTAACTGAATATGAAAATTAAAAAAATAGTACTTTGCTGGGTGAGAGGGTATTCAGGAGTACTGCAAAACGAGAGTGTTGATAGACTAATAAAATCCGTCTCATTGAGCAACGGTGCCATTGACCTTTCAGTAAGTTACATTAAAAATCACATAAAAGAAAAGTTACTACACGAATGGCAATCTAAATGCAATGCGGTGGACGTGGGAAAGCATTATCAATCTATCTTCCCCACTCCTAAAAAAATCTAGTTTTAAAATCGTTTTTAAGGCGTTTTTCAGGAACATACAACCATTCCGATATAATATTTTATTACAGGATTTCGATTTCGGGGTTCCAGTCTTCCCAAATCGATATCGCTGTAATAAAATGATATGTCGAAATGGTTGCATGATCCTAAAAACCACCTTAAAAACTATCCTAAAATAAATAAACAACCATGAAAGAAGAAGAGAAGAATAAAAATCTAGTTTGTTGGATTAGGAAAAGCAAAACCTTTTACACTATGGTCTCGCGATTAGGAACCGGCCATTTTACGGTTTGTACTACACACGTCAAACCGCAGCCCTTCCCAAAAATATCATTATTGTGACGAGGTAGATGATTTTGGCCACATCTTGCTGTGCTGGAAGAAATTTGTGGTCCAGCAAGAAATAATATTCCGGGCTCTATCAGGCGACTTGGTGGAACGTCTGTATAACCTTGAAACACTGCTGAGGAGAGTGTCCTATACCGCACAATTTACAAATATTTGTGTGCGTGTGAAGTGTCGATAGGTCCAATCATCCTTCTGTCCACTACTAACGTGCTATAAATAGTTACTTCCATTTTGGCGTTACCGGCGACGGAGGCGGCTGGTGGCTGCAGGCCATGGTGATAGTGGATGGTCTCGGGCCGTCGGCCGGCTGGAAGACGTACCAAGGCTCCCTGAGAACGTTTAGCTCCAGATTCCGAGAGAGTTTGGTTCTTCACTAGGTTGTAAAAAGCTTTCATTCACACTCTCAAAAAGGTATCTGATTTATCCTATTAGATCGAACCTTTGGATGTCTCTCAATCGGTGGCGGCGGCGTCGGGGTTCTTTCCAGGGGCTTTTTTCGAGTCTCTGACTAATAGGCATTGCAACTGGGCTTTTCTTTTCGATGAAGAGCATCTTACGTTCATCTAAATTCACTAATTTCGTGGTCCGCTTGACCAATTAAATCATTACAATTAATTAAGGTTTTTAGTTGAGATGAAAAAAAGTAAAGGCACGAGCGGGATTCGAACCCACGATCTTTGGCTAGATACGCCGCTGCTCTACCACTTGAGCTATCGTGACCTCGATCCACTCGGACATCAACTTCCTATCTGAACCCCACCTTATGAGTTTTCCCTCCTTTTTGCCATTTTTCAATTTAAAGAATTAATATGAAGTACACTTTACTAAAGCTCTCCGTGGCCATTTCAATTGTCGTCGAGAATCCAAACTGATTACACGACATTGGAAAAATGGCAAAAAGGAGGGAAAACTCATAAGGTGGGGTTGAGATGGGGAGTTGATGTCCGAGTGGATCGAGGTCACGATAGCTCAAGTGGTAGAGCAGCGGCGTATCTAGCCAAAGATCGTGGGTTCGAATCCCGCTCGTGCCATTAACTTTGTTTCTTCTCAACTAAAAACCTTAATTAATTGTAAGTTCATCTAAATTTTCACTTCTAACGCTCCAAGAAGAATTCCCCTGGCTGTCCACATTGGGAATAACGTTGCGTTCCTTAGATCAACAGAATAGATCCAACGTCGAGACATTTACTGATGTTTCTTCTTAGCAGAACCTTCATATCACTCCAAATATTTTTATTCTGTCTATTGAGTCAGGAAGGTACGGTTAGCAGACCTACAATGATCCAGGGCAGGGGTCGGCGAAGTTCGAACACGTCCCGTAATACTCACGCACGCTTCCTTTTATGTACCACATAAGAGCTTTTGTTCTCATACTGAAGCATTATTGCCACTTGAAAATGTCGCTTTGCTTATCATTGGCCAGATGACTCTTGTACAAAGCCTTGTACTTTCAAACTTTCATGCTTCGCCATATCATTCTCTTTGTATTCTGAACTAAGTAACTCCCTCAGCAACCAATGTCGTCTACTATTTAGTCATTTACATAGATAAAAGGTTACTTGGAACACCCCTACACTCGAGTCTAATAAAAAAAGAATTGAACAGACGATACAAATTACTCAAAATACTATTTGACAACACATCAAATCTCTCATTACAAAACGAAAGACTCATCTACATTTCATTACTACAACCAAACAGAAGAAACGGAATCAAATTTTGGTGTTCACCCTCCTGTTCCAACCCACAAAGAATGCAGTCACTCTAGAGTCTAGCCCAGGGGTGCTCAAACGGTCGATCGCGATCGACCAGTCGATCGCGAGTGCTTTTTGAGTAGATCTCGAGAAGAAAAAAATTTTTAATAAGTAGGTAGGTAACTAAACTACAAAAATGTATTACGTAATAAAATAACACTGCTTGCGGCAAAAGGTGGCTTTATCAAAGGAACGCGCGGCACTTGTCAAAGAAAAGCCGCGTTGTTTCTAGACTAGTAGACAGTACAGTCTAGTCTAGAAACAACGAGAGACAGTACAGTCTAGTTTCGGGCGGCGCGTTTGACGGGAACATTCGAGACTTTCGTTCACGCCGATATAAATGTTGTGCCTGCAGGAATTGGAGTCATTCTGAATTGTAACTTGATGGCGATACTACGTCGATACAAAGTTTATTATTAAATAGTGGAAAATGAGTGCAGTGAAATCTAAAACGTATC